GCGAGGTGCAGCGGGATGGGGATGGGGGTGCAGGGCTGTGGTGGGGGGATGGGAGGGGGTGCGGTGCAGGGGGGCACCACGTGGTCTGGGGGGGCAGGGGGGTTACTCACCCTTTCCCAGCATGCCCTGCATTCTAGGGCTGGCTCCAGGAGGCGGCAGTGACATTGAGGCCATGCAGGCACCAGGGGGCGGCGTCCGTGGGCGGCAAGCGCAGCGCGGCTATGGGGGGGGCCCGGGCGGAGGGGGGGGCACGGGCGGAGATGTGGGGGGGGAGATAAACAGACAGAGACGCCACGTGAGGAGGAGGTGCTGATGGGGGAGGGGAAGGGACCCGCCGCCCAACGTGCCCCCCCCCCAACGCCTCTGCTGGGTACGTCGTCCTCGCCGGGCCCCCCCTGGTTCCCCTCGCTGCACCTTCCCTCCCCGCTGCACCCCCACTGCAACCCCCACTTCATCACCCCCCCCACTGCACCTTCCCCCCTGTTGCAACCCCCACTGCACCTTCCCCCCACTGCAACCCCGCTGCCCCTTCCCCCGAACCATCCTCACTGCTCCCCACTGCACCCCACTCAGGGCCAGCTCCCCGGCGGGGAGCGCGGCAGGGGAGGGCGCCGAGCCCGTCCGCTGGCCCGCTCTCCCTGACCGGCCGGAGCGCCGGGGGGAGGGCGGAGAGCCTGGCCGGGGCTCCACTCTCCCCGACTGGCCGGAGCGCCGCGGGGAGGGCGGTGAGCCCAGTCACGGCCCCGCTCTCGGGCCGGAGCACCGCACCGCCCCCCTCCAGGTGCCGCCCCAAGCACATGCTTGGTGGGCTGGTGCCTGGAGCCGGCCCTGACCCCACTGCACCTCCCCCCCCACTGCACCCCTGCTGCAACCCCCACTGCACCTTCCCCCATTGCAGCCCCATTGCGGCTTCCCACCACTGCATCCTCACTACACCTTTCCACCACTGCACCCCCACTTCATCAGCCCCCACTGCAACTTCCCCTGCTGCACCCCACTGCACTTCCCTGCTGCACCCCCACTGCACTATCCCCCACTGCCCTCCCGCTTCACTTTCCCTTGAACCATCCTCACTGCACCCCACTGCACCTTCCCCCGAATCATCCCCACTTCACCTTTCCCCCCACTGCACCCCTGCTGTATACACCACTGCACCTTCCCCCACTGCACCCCTCACTGCATTGCCCACTGGACCTTTCTCCCACTGCACCCCCCTGCACCTTCCCCCAAATCATCCTCACTGCACCATCCCCCCACAGCACCATCACTCACTGCACTTACCTCCGATGGCACCGTCTCCTACTGCACCCCAGCATCCTCACTGCACCATCCCCCACTGCATCCCCTCCTTCACCCTCACTGCACTTTCCCCCCACTGCACCCCAGCACCATCCTCACTGCACCTTCCCTCCACTACACCATCTCCTACTGCACCCCCCAAGGCTCTCCCCATTGCATCATCCCCCACTGCACCATTCCTCCACCCCACCCCACACTGCACCATCACCTTCTGCACCTTCACCACACTTCACTATCCCTCATCGCATCATTCTCCCACTGCAGTCCACACTGCACCACCACCTTCTGCGCCCCCCCCATGGCTTCCCCACTGCCCCTTCCTCCCACTGTACCTCCTACTACACCCCCATCACCCCCCACTGCACCATTGCCCACTGCAACTCCACTGCACACAGCCCTGGTGCACCCCCCCACTGCATTCCGCACTGCATCCATCCCTTGTTGCCCCCCCCAGTGCCTGCCCCATCCGACGACTCACCTGCTCCTCAGTGCCTAGAGGGGGGAGGATGTGAGGGGGTGGAGTTCGGTGGATTTATTGACCGGGTGGCCTCTGAGCCCCCCATTAGCCCTGGACCCCCTCTTAGAGGTGGGGTTGGAAGGGGCCTGACCCTCGAGTGGGGTTCAAATGCCCCACTACCCTAAGCCCTTGTCTGGAGGGAGGGGCCTGGACTCCCATCTTCCTCAGCCCCCCCTCCTCCTGGTCAGGGCTGTCACCCCCTATCTGGGCCCACCCCATGGTCTGCCCCCCTCCAGCAGGCCCCAGCAGCTGCTCCTAAGGGGGCTGTGGTGGGGGGAGGGCATTAGACCCCAGTGTGAATCCTGGGGGAGCAGTCCTTGCTGCCTGCTCAGAGGAAGGGGGGTGTCTTCATGTCGGGGGGGCTGATGAGAGGATGTGGGGGGTCTCTGTGCTATGGGGAGGGAGTGGGTCAAGATGCAGGGGCTGTCCTTGCCATGGGCTGGGGGGCTGGGATGGGAAAGCAGAGGGGCTGGGGTGGGTCTCGGTGTGGGGGAGGAGGTGGGGGGCAGGGTGAGGGGGTGGGGGGGTCCCGTTGGATGGGGGAGGGCAGTGCCCATGCTGGTGGGGTGTAGGTGGGAGGTTGTCAAGGGACAGTTGGGGTTACTGGGTGTGACCTTCGGTACCCCAAAGCAACCCCCTGCCCCACCCCCATATCCCTGCCGGCGCCAGCTCCCGGGGCCAGATGCTTGATTCAAAGCCGCCCGGGTTTACACAGCTCAGCTGGTGGGTTGGGTTTAGTGCGTAGGGGGACCCGGACGCTCCCTGAACATGGCTCTGTCGGCGGGTCACCAGTCTGGCCTGGGGGGCTGGGGAATTGACGGGGGCGGCCGGTACCGCGCCGGGGTCCCAGGCTGCGGGGCTGGGGAGACGCCTTCGGGGAAGTGCAGCTGGGGGTGGAGGTCGGCAGCTTGTCACAGGAGCTCGGGGGAAGTCGGTCCCAAGGGGGTTGAAGGGGGTGGGGGAGCAGAGGTCAGCGGGGTGGTGAGAGGGGCAGGGGGTCACTGGGGCGGTGGGTTTGTGCAGGGGGTTGAGCTGGGGGTGGTCAGGTGGGGGGGCTGCACACGGGGTGCGGAGGGGGCTGCAGGAGGCTGGGGGGGGCTCCACAGGGGGCTGTTGGGAGCCGTTGTGGGCCAGGCTG